GGAAGGGTGATATAGGGAGAAGAGGCTGATTACAAAAGTGCTATGATTAGGCTAGACAGGAGGGGAATTGTTTTTGAACTATTTTCGACCAATTGGGCAATAATTTTAGGTGGCAATTTTTAGACAGACACCTATTAACCAAGGAAATACGGTACCCATTTTCCCCCAAATTCATACTGCAAAAAGTCAGGCAGAGAAATTATGGTCCGAAAGTAACAATTTCCATCCATTTTCAGGTTTGGCTGTAACATGTCTTCAGGGTATAATAACAGTACACATTATCTATTGCTATCCTTCCTTACAGAGGTCAGGCCGCATTGATTTGAAAAATTGAGGAAAGAATGTAATATCCACCTTGCTTCTCTTATTGTTTGTTTTGATAATCAATAAGGCCCTTTAGCTTCCTTTTTTAGATGCCACATGACTCTCCATCTTTCAGAATGCCCAGAAAAGGCTGTAAAGTGTCCCGTTGCTGGTTGTACAGCTATAATCTGCTTACAAAGTTCAAAAGAGCATGTTGTAATAGCTGCTTCTTCTCACACAGTACTACAGGCAGGGGAGGTACAACAATTGAGAGGAATCATACATTTTAAGGTTTGAAATGCTTCATTTTCACTTGTCCCCTTCAATGTAGTAAGAAGCTAGTTTGAACCAAAAAGGTGGGAATGAGATGGTATTAACAACTTATGAACTTCAAAGTACAAAACAGGAATAACAAAATTTCATAGTTCGCACCTATTACATCTGTTTACAGGGAAGAAAGTCCTCATTAGAGCTGCATGAAGCATGCGTCCACTCCTTTCGTTGGAAGGTGGATCACGACTTGCCAAATATCAAGAAAACAGTGGCAAGCAGAGACTACCGGTGCCAAAATGGAGATAGGTGGCGAGGCCTGCCTGTGTTTAAGGAACAGAAGCTTAGTCTGTATGTGCAACTCACTTCTGCCATTATTCCGGTAACAGTCGAGGTTAGGTAAGAAAGAAAGTCCACCTGCTAAAGTCTGACCTCAAATTCATAATTGAAATGAACATTCAAAGTTTTGTCCAAGCCTTTTTTCGGCCTTATTGCAGATAAAATAGATTAAGATCAACTCCAGTTTGTTATTACTCACACATAATAAAAAAACTGGCCAGTATCAAAATACGTTATTATCCTATTACTGGATCAATTATATCAGAATATGGAATGTCGCATTGCCACCGTTGTTCAGTGCTTATGGAAAGGTTGAAT